CGAAAGATTACTTGTATCAAATTGGAAGTATTAACTAAAATTTCCGGGATGCCAGACCTTTTTGGACCAAGGAAGTACTTCTGTTATGGACTTGTTTGATTTTTCATTATGCATTTGGGAAGGGTTGAGGCAATTTATAGTTTTCTTTTCAGCATTTTCAAGCATTTTTTTATGTTCTTCTATTGTAAATAGGGCCGCTATTGAGCATGAGAAGAAGACACATGTTATTAACCTGGAGGAAAGACAGGCATTGGAGAAAAACATGATTACCGTTGCTCATGAACTCGACAGACTACATGCAGAGTTGGCTAATGCAGAGAAGAGATTTAGGGCGGCAGCTGCAGCAGCTGCCGCAGCAAACCCAAGTAAATTTGCCTCAACTTTAAGCTTTATTATTTGCAGAAAAATTAGATGTTGGTTTTGTGTCAAATCAATTTTCGACCTCTTCACTTGTTTATTATATATCAGACCCTGGTCATGCTGCAAGCTATGGTAATCCTGAAATGGGATATGGAGGAAGTCCACACATCGAACCACATGCAATTCATCGGGTACGTACCCAGTTAATTGATTGATGCCTTTGATACTTAGTATGCCATTTAAAAAATGCAGCAAAACTAGAAGGTTCGCATATGGAATTACAAGAGATTCCCACCTTAGATCTGCCCCATTTAGGTTGTCCATAAATTTCTGTGGACTGTGTCGAACTTGATGTTGTATGAACTTGGGCAATACTTGCTTCGTAACATATTGTGGTGTACGTAATTACTCCTTATTTATCAAGGAGTGAAAAAAAAACTTGTATAATATCATTAGAAAGAAACAGAACCATATTTATGGCAGGTACTAGAATAAGTAATGTTTGTTTAGCACATATCAGGGTAACTGCTGCACTGCCCAAATTGCTTTTATGATACACTAAATGATACTTTGTTGCTTTCTTGGAACAAAAATATCTACTTTCTTTTGGTATTTGCCTTAAATTTTTTGATTCGTCGATACTCAATCGTATCTTCTTTTTTGATGATTGGATGTTCCCCTAATTCCCATATTCATGAATTTCGAACTTTCTGCTTATTGTGTATCATTGAAAATATAAGAATACTATTTTTTATTGGAAAATAACCATTTACGGGTAGGAGACTTTTTTTTGGCATTTGGAAGTAACATAATTATTTGCTGTTTATTTCTGTATGACCAAGTGAGAGGCACTATTCCTTTTGTAATCAATTGAATTTTGAATACTACACTTTGTTTCAATCTTGTAATCACACAAGAACTCTAGATCCTCCATCATATATTCTGCCAATATGTAGCGTTAAACATTCTGAAACTATATGTTCAGGGTGGTGCCAATGCTCTTCCTTACCCCGCTCCATGACGATCTCCTCAAGGTTTGCATGCACAGCAGTGGTTGGAGTTACATTCTCTGACTTTCTCAGCTCTCTGCAGGAGACAGAACCAAATTGGAGAAAGGAAGGTTGTCTTCAAATTTCCAATCGATTCTGTTTACTACAAAAATATTCAACTTGAAATATTTCTCTGGAGATGTATGAATGGGTGAGATATGCACAAGCAAGGTTGTAGAATTATTCTTGGCTTGCATACCTTATTTAACTCTGTTCTGCATTTTGCAAGCACAGGGAGAGAGGGTTTGTAAGCAGGGACTTCAGGTGATTTATTGCAGGAATCAAGTTGTATTTCCATTGTTTACATGAATGAGCTGACCTGCAACTGGTTCCTGATGTAGGCTTCAGTTAAATTTGTTCATGATTGTAAGATTATAGAATTGTTGGCAATGCACCTCTTTTCTGTTTGCTGTTTGTTTTTGTTTGTATCAAGAAGGAAACTTGCTACAAAAAGGATATCTTTGAAAAGAAATTAATGACAAATTTATGAAATGTGGGTTGAGATGTATATTCCACATTTCCATTGTTTGTGGCTGAAAATAGTATTTGTTTGTTGTAGCATAGTTCTGGTGCCACACTGTTGCTTGGGTGGAATAAAAATATAAAGATTATTCTGTTTAAATAATAATAACTAGAGTACACTAAATCTGAGTTGAATGTGGTCACTGTTACTGATAAGCATCAGGTTGTGTCAAAAAGCTGTGTTATTCTTTTAGGAGATTTCTCTGGAGATCTTTTGTCATTTTCATTATAATTCTAAAAATTAAATTGAAATGATGAGGTTGACCAGTACTAAGTATAACCTTTAGTTCAATAATTATCTGTTTTTTTTTTTTTTTAAACATTGTAGAGAATTAGTTTTAACTATTATTTTGTATAAATTTGTGTTATACCTAAAAAATTATTAAGTAGCACAATTGACCAATGTCCAGTAAGGCCATGACTAAATTCCTAGGGAATTTACTTTGTAAGAGTGAAGATTTAAGTAAAGTAAATAGATAAAGAGAGGATTAGTCAGTTTTAGTTATTAATTAGTTATTGAAGTAGCCAAATATTTACTAATATATAAAACTGATAAAAGCTCGGTCCCCGCAACCCAAACATAAAGACAAAAGCTCCTAAGGCCAGTCTCTTAGTTCTGTTCAAACTTTCAGTAGGTGACTCAACGGCTTTATTTTCTTAACCATTCTTCAAACGTTACGTTTCATTAAAATAATTTTTAATTAAAAAATAAATGTTTTTTTTTATATTTATTCATAATTAATCGAAACCTCAACAGCTTTATAATCCTGAAAAAGAAAAGATTGTGAGACAATCTAAAAATGTTTTTTTGAACTTAAAAACATCACGAAGCCCTGTACGACTAATAAGCTACACACAATAAGCCAAAAACCCAATAATCTCCCAATCGCGACAATTTTTTTGAAAAGAACTAATCAGTATTAACAGTCGTTCAAAATAAATTTCAAGTTCAGGATAAATCGAATGCTCAGTTGTGATTAAATCATTACAATGCTTTTGAAGTCATCAAATTGGCAAAACATTGAGGTTATTCCTGTGAGAGAGACTGCATACACTTGACGTGCAAAATTTAACTTTCACCTAGGTCACACTGTATTATGGACATCGCTCTTATCAGCCTGAAAGTTTATACATGCCTACCAAGAAAAGAAAACCAGGGTCCTTACACAAGTTTAAGAAATAAACGGATACAGGTCCAACTAAACCCCCCCGTGTCCTATGCGCAGCAAATGAGATCACTCAGATAGGTCTGCTCACATCAATCAATAATTCAGTGAGAATAAAAAAAGACGAAAGTAACCACAACGGGTCTTGAAGTTGGCTGGAAGAACTCTTTTGACCCCTTAGACGTGCAGAATGCAGAAGTTAAAACAAGAGTCTACTTCACTATCCGAACAGGCATCTTTCCAGTAAGATGTTGCTACCTCCATATCGGCATGGCAGAACTCATACTCCAACTATTAGAAGTAATCATCCAGATTTACAGCAAGCCACCCACAATGCCATTCCCACCAACAGAACGCCACCATAGACAATTTGCTAAGTATCAATCTTACATTTTATGTATCTTATTCCATTGGAATCCCAGTCTCAATTGGTTTTCTTAACAATTTCAAGCTTAAGATGCTACCTACTGAAATTGGCTTTCTTCTCATAATCCAGAGACAACCAACATGCAAGGACAATGCTAAGAACGCAGACAGCAAGATATGAACTCCTATTCTTAACCAATTAAAGAATTAGATCAAGCAATGCACAAACAGATTGTCAGGCTACGACCTACTCATTTAGTCAATACATGCATATGATGCTCACAATGCATTAGAATAATGGACCATCTCTGAATTTCCACAAAGCTTAAAAGGTGAATTTGAAAGAGCAGCACTCACCTGAAAATATCAACCTACCTTAGCAGCAAGGAATTTGGAGTTTATCCACTTGCCTCTATAAAAACATTCAGACAGTTAAATCAATCCAACGCCTTGAGTAAGAGCCCTCCAAGCTAGAAGAATAAGGTGAAAGAGGAGAAAAAGGGGCATTGCTCAGAGTGAGTGAACAACCTACCTCTTAGTCTCCTGTTCAAGAACAACCTTGTGAATGGAATATAACTAAAATCCCTCAAGACACATATCTTAGTACATAAAAGCTCAGAGCTGAAGCGCTCTCTCAGTACGGCGTGAGCGATTGCACCATGTTGATGTCTATCTGGGCTCATCTCTGTATTATCCCTGCGCTGTCTCACTCACATAGC